ATGTGTGAGTGAGTAAGTGAATGATATATTCGCAGTGCTGCCGCCGTGTTGGTTGACGCAACTACTGCACTCGAATCCCCATTTTCCTACTACTATTATCACTGCGCATTTTCATAATTTACTTTTTAATTAAAACAAATGCATTTGCTTTTTTGTTTTTTGTGAATGAAACTTATAAGTCTTTGATTATGACCAAACAATTTCAATAAAATTTATTGCAATTTCGATTGTGGTCTGGCAACCAACTCCAAATCCTTACGTTTGGTCATTTTTACTTGGTAATTGTCAAAATAAAAAAAGTTGTCACAAATTTTGAACTTGCTTTGCATTAGAAATTTTCGTAGTTTGCGTATTAAGCTTTTAAAAAAGATTGCTTCAAATATCAACTAATGTGTGCATTGTTGAAGTTATACGTATGAATGGAAAATAAAAATATCCAATGAATGATCATATTAAAACAATATTTTTGTCGACATTTTTTTCTTATTTTTTGTTTTGCATTGATATTAGTTTACATATTGACAATTATTAAAATGAAGTAAGCTAATCTTGAAGAAGAGAACAAACAGGCAATAGTTAAATTTTGAATCTCCAATATGAAATACAAGAAAAATTATGAATTAATGACTGATAAAGCTGATTGCATAAAACTGAAAGCAAATTATAAAAATTATGTAAACCATAGAAAACAAGAGTTTATCATACATATAACTAATATATCCTTATATTAGTTTATCATATTAATCTACACCACTTTTCTGACATATTATTATTTATAACTAGAAAAATCAAACTAATAAAATGGACCCCGTAAAATATTTTTTACTTTACTTATTTTATCATTAATTTTGTGTGCATAACTGACCTAATCATAGTTTTGTTGTTCAATATGGTTATACACATTATTTTGTTCTTTTTATTTGTTTCTTTACGATTTTCGGTGTAAACTTGCACTTTTAAGCACCACTTTTTGTTACAAACTCGTGCAGTATATCACAGGCCATTTCGATGTTATTTCTCGAAATTCCCAATGCTGTGATGACATTTTCCCTTGAATAGCCCTCGTTCATCAGTCGTGTTATATAATCTAAATTAATATTTTCATATGGCACGTTTGCTATGTTTTCGTAAAGTAATGGTAAACCAACATCGGATGCCTAAATAATCAAATGGAATATCAATTATTTGTGTGGTGGTGATTGTTATTAATATTCAATAAGAAATCGTACATTTTTGGTACCATTCGATTTGGTAATCGAATGGGCATGATTTTGTGGAGCTAATGTTGATGACGACGACGACGACGACGATGATGATGATGATGATGATGTTGTTGTTGTACATAGGTCAAGTCCTAAATGTGGGGTCGTTCGAGACTTTGATGGCTGCATATGATTGGGATATGATTGATGCCGAATTTGGTTTTGTTGCATATTAAATTTTAAATGATAGAGATTATTTGCACAATTTGATGCGACTATCTTCTGTTCCTTATTTTCGATGGCACTGCTACTGCTACTGCTGGTCAAATTCATGCACGTGCCAATTGGTTTACGCGTTTCAAGTGGTCGTGTATCAATGATTCCGCTAATGATTTAGATAGAGATACAAATTATAATATCAAGAATGTATGTTATTAATTTTCTAAGAAAACTTTTTTTTAGAATGCAATACTACATAATCGTTTCAGCTGGTCCAACAATCACTTTTTCGCATGCATCGTCTATATTTGCTAAATTGATGTGCTTCAGTTCATCGTCTATGTCATCTATATCTTTCCTAATTAAATTATGTTTGGGTACTGGTGGCGCATTAGATTTCGGTACTTCAAATTCACATGATGTTATATTTTCCGAACTTTTTGATAGAATTGCCGATAAATTTGTATTAATTGATAAATTCATTAGGCTGGATGCAGTTTGTGGTTTTAGCATACGATTAACAACTGAATTATCGGCCACATTTGGTGATGATTTACCGCCACGCGGAGGTAACGGTGGTGCCGATGAACTTTGGTCTGAACTCGCAACAACATCACTTTTTATCGTCGTGGCATGAACATTGCATATTGTTTTGTTAATTATTTGAGGCGTTTGCTGTTGAGATTGTGTGCTTGGCGTGGTCTGATTTTGTGATATTGACTGTTATTTGAAGAAGAAATAAATGCTATTAATTTTATTTCGTGAGGTATTTGAGAATATTGCTTTTTAAGTTTCTTTCTTGCATTCCAGTATAATGAAAAGTAAAATTTGAAAAAAAAAACAAATTTGCTGTACCGTATTTTTGATGTTTGATTGAATTTGTTGTTGTTGCGGTTGTTGTTGCTGCTGCTGCAATTGACTAGCATAAATATCATTGGTAGTGGACTGACTCAATGTGACCGGTGTTTGTATATTCGGCGTTGCACTACGTCTCGTCATACGTGGCGAAGAATGCGGACTTTGTTTATCATTACGAGTTAGAGCCATGCTATTGCTTAACGCATGCAAAGAAGATGTAGCCACATTAAAATCGCTCCCATCCTGAAAACCCAATCACGTTTTTTTTGTTTTAAATGAAATATTCTTTTTCACTTTCAAATTAAATTAGAATTGTAGCATTTCGAAGACCATTTAAAAATATAAATTGAAATTATATTCATAAATGAAATTATTGATGAATTAAATTGAATTTATAACATATCAATTGACATCCAAATTCAACAAGATTATCAACGATTGAATAAAGAATAGGAAGAAATGTGTGGAAACTCCGAAAGGCAGAAGACCTCCCTATATTGGAAAAATTTTTGTCCATTGGTAATGTCTATACAAAATAACCTGAATAGTGAATAATCGGCGATTCTGAGGAATTTTTCTTGATTACAGGTTTTTTCGTGCATAAGAGTTTGTTGAACGTATAGCGACATAATTTCGATCGGAATCACGGTTTATCGGAACTATGGTTTTATGTGTGAAACAATGTGTTCGATTGTTTTACTGTGTTACTCAATGAGTTCGATCATTGTTCCACACACAAAACAATTATTCCGAAAAGACTTAAAACCGAATTTGATAGAAAAAACACGTAGATTATGTTATATTAATGGGCAAACTCAATTTAATTCAACCATGGCCATGTACCCAACAACAGACAATACTCAAAACCGTGCAAAATTGAAAGATGTTACTAGTTAACAACAAAATTGACGTATTAGTTATTAAGATATGTTAATACTTCTGTGTGAATGGGACATCTATAGTGTAACCCAGTAAAACGGTCACGTTTAACATTACAAAACAAATATGATCTAATTCAAGATCCCCGAGCAAAAAAGTATATCTGTTGGAATAATTTTTAAAAATCTGCTGGGATAGAAATTTTTGAAATAAATTTCTACGAATTTCTATCGGAGTAGATTTTTGAAAACTATACCAACAAAAGAGAAAAACGAAATTCATACCCTCAGTAGTGGCCTACTTATATGAGACACGCTGTAGATTTTTACATTTTGATGGAAATCGTGGCCTCATTTGGGAAAAATTCGTTTAAGAAATTGTCTTTGGGAATCTCTTTCAGAAAAAAATATTTTCGGAAAATATCAAGGCCATCCATTGGAATATGAACGAAATCCACCAACATGATACTATAGTATCAATATATTGGCTCCAATTAAATGGATGAAGTAGATATGGTTCAAATCTTTTTCAAATCACCACAAGCACTACTGTAGACCAACGAGTTAGTCGGCATAATCGTTCTGTAAGTACTATCATAAAAATTTAGTCGAATTTGCTAGGGTTTTTGATTCAAAAAGTGTAGCTGTGTGTCAATGTAGGTAAAATTGAGGAGATGTCTTTCAATTTTCTAGGGTTTTTGGATCCGAGATAACTTTTTTCGATTTGCTAGGGTTTTTCGCGGAGAAAATTCTTTCGATTTGCAAGGGATTTTCGTCAAAAAAGTGAAGAGCAAAAAAAAACGAAAATTTGTCCGGTTTTCGAAAACTAACGTCCTCCTGAAAATTTTTCCTCGCACACTACTGATATAGAGTGAATGCAAATTTTATATAAGTGCTTTTTCGTTTCATTTCAGAGTCTAGATACATCGGTGAATTAGCGACTGTAGCAGCACCAACAGTGCGAATGCCATCGGTCAATTAAGATAATAATTCGGATTATTCATGGTGATCAACGAGCGAAGAAAAAGAATTAGAGCTAAAGTGACAACGACGTCAGCGGTGGTGGTTGAACTGATTATAATGAATGCGAAAATTGATTTATGGTAAAGAGTTAGTGATTTAAAAGTCTTAAATCAAAAACATTCTACCTTCTGCATAATTGTATTCTTATTAAATTGCTCTTCTTTATTTTTCTCTGCAATTTGTAGAAATCAATGTGCAGTCTACCAAATCACTACTTTCCTCAATATCAACAAACAAACAAATAAAAAAGCAATTAAGAAATAATGTTAATGGTTTTAAACATGGATTGTGGCTGTAGTCAGACTTGGACTTTCATATTTTCTAGCCGTAATCCATGCGAAAAGTGTTTTTTTAAGAAAAAAAAGCAACACGGTAACATAAATAGTTGGTAAATCGTGTGAAAAATAATTTATTACTTTTCCTTTCAAAATTCGTTCTAATATTTTGTGCATATTGGTTCTTAAATAGGTAAATTGTTTTACTTTTATTTGAATGCCAAGTGGAATCAGCATTAGTAATTAAGTGAGTGAATTTTGAAATTTTGATGAAATTTTTTTTCTTTACTTTCATAATTTTTTTTAAAAATTATTGTATGATCAAAAATCAAACAATTACACAAAATAAAAAGTTATAATTTGTTTTCATGCTTTACATAATGTTAAAATCAAACGTATTTTTTTCAAATCTATTATTCAAATGATTTTCTAATTTATCTATTTATGAAATAATTCATTCAATATAACTTAAAGCAATAAAAAAATTATAATACAAATTAATAAATATCACTAAATTTTTTCTCATTTTTACTTATGCGGAAAACACTTAAAAATTCAAAGAAAAAAATAGTAAAAGCAATAAATTTATTACAACCAAAGATAAACGGATAAGATTTATGCAATCAGCGCGATCACACACACATTTATAGCACAAGGTCGGATGAATACACACAACATTTGGCACATAAATTTTTTTTTTTTTATCCTTTATATCAATATCTAAATTAATTTTGAATCACAAATATTTTGAGAAATAATTCTAACTTCTTTTCATTTAAAAAAATGACTGATTTCAATTATCCGAATTTCGAAGAAAAGCCATTAAACGCAACAAAAACAAAAGTTTGTTTATGTATGTATGTATGTATGTGTGTGTGTTTCTCAAGTGAAATAAGCGCATGGAAAAATGTTAGTTTTGGAAAATGGAATTTAAAAGAAAAAGTGCAAAACTGCGGCGCAAATAGTAATTATAATGTTTGTAACGTTCTTTATAAATTTTACGTCAAAAAACGTAACGCTTTGGCCCAGTGCAGTGGTCATTTAATTAGCAAATGCATAGTTTCTAATAAAGAATAAAGATTTTGTCCAATCTACTTCTTTTATTTACTTCCATCCAATAATATTTTTTACAGCATAATATGAATGATGTTAGGTCTTTTAATTCAAATTTGTCTATGGTGATTCCAGAACATCTAAAATTAAATTGCAACACGCTCATACATTTTTGTATGAACATGTTGCTCTTTTAACAAATTTCCTGCGGTCATGAATTTTCTAACCGATTCAATTTATACAATTGACTTCTTTCATTCGTTTTTAAGTGTCGTTCTGTCTATATTTCAAAAAAACAGAACACTTCCAAAATATCACAGTGGGAGAATTCTTTAATTATTGAAAGTATCAACATCAGTAAGCAAGGTTCCTTCGATCATGTAAGAAGTGATATACTAATGACAAAAAAAGATGAAACGAGGACAATGACAATTGTGATGACAACGAAGAAGAATATAAAAGGATTCGTGAAATTGCCGCCGAATTAAATTTTAATACCAGAATATGCAAAGCAGGTATTGAACATCTTTTCCGAAAAAAGTTTCGAAATAACTGAAATATTTGCATTACTGTTGATACCATTTCAAATCAATGTGGCGCTCGATGAAGGGAAGTACGCAAGGCGGTAAAAATCACCACGTGGCAGTCAATGGAGAATAATTGTATACAAAACATTGTGAACGTTCATTGAAAAGAAATGGATGCATATGTGAGTATCATGGCATCAAGTCGGCAAAAGAATGTGAATAATAAAGAATGAGCGATCAGTGTTCTTCAAGAAGGAAAACCATGGTAAAAATCATCAAGAAACATGGCTATTCGTACAGAAGGCCTCATCGATTTAAAGTCTGCATTAGACATTAGAAACTGAATAATCGTCACGACGTAATTCGACGATGACGAAAGCTTTTTCTTCGAGGAGCATAAGACTCTTACTGTTATCTGAATGAATAACGGCCAAACAAACAATAGTTAGTCTTGTTGTCAAATATAAAAATGGTGTACTAAATGTTCCACATCATGATTTGTGGAAGGTTGTCCATTGTTTGGTACTGAGAAATTTTTATCAGTTGATATGCATTTGTTTGATCATTGATCAAAAATTTTTGTTCATTATTTACTATTTTTGTTTTTGATTACTCAGAATTTTGTCGACTTCTTGGCAGTCGTTATGGATAAGTATACATAAGTCAGCAAGGTATACAAAATATTGTTAACATTAACAACATTTTTAGTATATTTATGAAATTCATACATATCTTTGTCACCATAATATTATTTCGACAGATTTCGATTTCAAATTATATGAAACCATGTAAAGAAAACGAACAAGTAATAAAACCTTTTCGTATTATATTAAATTGAATAAAAAGGTTACTATCTGAGCGAAAATACTGTTTAGATATATCTATAAATAGACGTGCTTTTACAACGATTGTATAGATTCATCATTCAGAAGGCTGTTTCCTGAACGGACGGATCCTCATTGAAAAATTCATTTGGGCAAAAATGAAATGTTTTTTCATCAATATAAATAGATGTTTTTTTTTTTTAAATTAAATTTTGAAATGGTAAAAGTGGTTGCAGTTAAGCCATTTTGTGTGGGATGATGAGTTTTGGCCATGGTTTTTGGATAACTATACCTCAGTATCGTCATCATCAACGTTTTGTTGTCGACCATGTGCTGAATTCCTGTGATGTTGTTTGCGTGGATCAAATGCATCGACTATAATTTGTTCAGTTCCTTTGATTTCAGCTCTACAAAATGGGCAACCCTGCAAATAAAAACGATTTTTCAACTTAAAAAATATGAAAATTTGTACACATTCACTGATGATTTTGTATTTTTGTTTTAAGTAAAAGTAAATTTAATTAATAATACAAAAAAAATTCCATATATCAGCGTACCTGTCCTTCGGAATCAACCTGCCAAGCAGTCAAACACGGTGTACACAGCAAATGACCACACGGTTCGATTCGTATATCTTTGTCATTTTCCGCACATATTTTACATAACTGAAATGTACTACCTGTTGATGTGAACAAGAATTGAATGTTATTACTTAAGAGTGAACGAACAGTTAATTAATGCTGAAAAATAAAAATGATATAAAACAAATTTCGCTACCCATTTCACAATAGAGTTCGTATTGTTCTTGCGTCACAGTTATATGATCTTCCATTGGACTTTGCACAGCAAACGAAAGATCTGGGTTAACTTGCCGCCCGTCCGGATATAAATAAAATCCCTCTCTGTTGTCGCAGACAGAAATGGAAAAACAGAAAAGATAAATTCATTAATAATGGAATTTCATACAAAAATAATGCTGGTATTGATGAAATATTGATCAGATGAATGTTATCTCACCTATGGCCATCAAGCAAAGCTTGACATAGTGACTTATTCTGTGGAATTGTTTGTAAAATTTCGCCTTCGGCCGTTACATATCCAATAGCCCATTGCCCTAAACGCGTACAAGATAATCTATTTACGAAGTCAAATTCGAGGAAAATAATCATTGATTAGCCATACGCAATTTTTAAAACGAATTTTAATGTAAATTTTCTTTTAATTACGTTACCTGAATACATAACTACCAGCTTTGTGTATGTACTTTTGTAGTCTGGCCTTGACCTCATCGTATGTTAAAAATGCAACATAACCTGGATGCGTAACAGCTAAAATTTGCCAATTACGTAGCAGTGTGCTCCACGGTTGAAATAATCTAGTAAAAAAATGAGACCCAAATGTGAAAATGTATGATTCTAGTTACACGGTTTTTATGCAATTACCGTGTAAAAACGTCGAATTCAAAATTTGATATATAGTCATTGCATGTCAAATCTATGGTTGTCTTCAACGCCATTGCCTCTAAACCGGACGAAATTTGATGTACTTTTGATAATTCTTGACGGAAAATTTTCCATGGAACCAATGTACTGTAAAAGTGCAAAAATATTAGATGAATTTCAAATGTATACTAAAATGAAAAAAATATTTACACCAAAGATAAATTAGAAAGACATTTTTTCATAGAATGAGTTGTTCTGATATTTTTCTTTGATACGACGTATTCTGTTTTTTATTTCTCTCATTTTTCTTATAACGTTGATTTTGTTCAAGCATTTGTACCTTTTACTTATTGTTAATTACGGCAAATAGTCGAAAATATTATTTTGTGTACGTCATACTTGCAAAGATGATTTCAAAAAAAGAAAAAGAAAAATCTTTAAAGAATTAAGAGAGGGAGGAAAAAAATTAATTTTTGTTTTAATTGAACATGATTTTTGGTACATGGCCGGTATATATTGATAATTATCAATTTTTTCTATATATATTTTTATTTATTACAAAACATATTACTTAATATTTGTACAAAACAAAAATTACGAGGTGAAAACAATTTCAATTGCTCGTTTCAAGTTCTGTAATTATGCATCTGATGCAGGTAAAATTGCGGTCATTTTACTCATTTTCTCATGACTAATTATGTATTGTTCTCTTCTTTTATACTGAAATGAGTTAAAAAACAATGAAGCTTGTCATATGAAGAACTCACGTTTTTCTTTTCTTCGGTTTTTTTTATTATGGGAAGAGATGTTATTCAATTCTATCTCTACCTTAGTTGCCGGGAGCGTTTGAAGTGAGTTCATATATATGAGGTCGGAGTGGTGAAAAAAGAGAAAAAGAATACCGTTTTGAAGCGCATTATTATCATCAAATATATATGTATATTGTTGGAATGCAATTTAAAACGCCCTTATATACAAGAACTTAATAAAAGTGAATGGCTTTAAAAGTTATATTTCCAAATAAATTCTCGAGAAATTTTATCATCTTGCATATTTAGATATATAGTTTATCGTCTATATTGATTTGAAATATTTGTATGTATGTTTATCAGTTCCCATAAGTATGAAGTTCACTGTTTAGTAACAGTGTTTACCATATCATAGACCAAGAGCTACTCTAATAAGTAACTTTTTTTACTTTATGTCAGAAAACTATATTGAATCATGCAGCTAGACATACACTAAACAAATAATTTTACGTTTATCACTTCAGCCACCCCATTCGCGAAATCCGCACTATTATTATTGAGCCATATATAATTTTCTGACATAAAGCAAAAAAAATTAACTTGTTAGAGTGGCTCTTGGTCTATCACAATATAAACTTCAATGAAAAAAGTGGACTGAAATTCGCCATGATAGAGACAAATTTGAGCGTGATGGTCATGTAGAGAAATAAACAGGTTACACTTAAAACTTTGCAGATTTGAGGCCAGAATTCAAATGGTGCAAGATTTTCTCGCCGAGACTATTTACAAATGTCCTTATTCACATGCATAACCCGTAGTAGACATAGAATTATAAGCGCATATGAAGTAAATCATCATTAAAAACTCATTAAATTTTTTCGTTTCGAGGTGTTTCGTTTTCCAAAACGATATGGTCAAATACAAAGGTCTAAGCGCATGTTCTTTTTTGTTCGATATATAGTATGAATTCTTTATTTATGCGAAATTGTAACGACGCGTTTCACATTATCGAAAAAGCTATTTTTACGTTTCACATAAAAAATACATAGATATGCGTGTTTTTGTGTGAAATATACTTTCTAGCTATAGTCTATTAATTTATCGTAGGTTGAACATTGAAGAATTAACACAAAAATATGTTGTTGTTTTTTAATTTGATTTTCATTTAATGTCTGCCAACAAGTATAGATAAGATCGTACAAATAAAAACTTGAACAAAGCATGCCCTATGGTCAGCGGAACTAATATTCTTATTAAAAAAACTTGGTATATTTCATTGAATGACCATTACTGTTGTATATTGATATAGTGACTTAGTATAAAATCTATCTATACCAGTAGTGTGTGTGGAAATTTTTCAGGGGGGAGTGATTTCGTTCTAAAAAGTCTATTTAGAATAATATATTACGATTTTGATTCCGTATTATTTTCGATTGACAAGGTACAATGTTTGGGCTTATTATGTAAACAATAATCTAATGACGCACATTAATTCACAGTATATAAAATCCAATTGTTGATCAAAATATATATTTTCCGAGGGGGAAACCACGGATTCTAATAAGTGCTAATTTTTTCTAATATTTCTAGTAAAATGCCATATAACATGTACATTTGACATCTTTCTAATATGTTCTAGTTTTTCTAGTATCGAGTTCGTGGGTAACCCCAAGATATTTTCAAAAGAAAATTTCGTTTTTTCATAATTGTCTCGACATTAAATCATTTGTATTTGTACTATATTGCCGATTTTTTGCGAATTTGCTTTTCTCGTCTTAAAAATAACAAGTGTACATTCACAATGCATTACTGTTGGTTGGATGCAATAATTTTGCATGAAATCGGTATTTTAAAATTAGACGACTTTCAAATGTGTTCATATTTAAAAATAGTTTCGTTTTGGCGGAAACATATAACATTCATTTTGTTTAATGGAGATGGCAATGTTTAGACAGCATGTGTTTGTTAGGCGACAGCGGCGGCAAAATCATATTGAAAAAAGTGATTGCAATAGTTGCTATATGACGAACATTGTTCCATCGGCAGATCCACTTTTTGTGAGAGAATTTGGACTTTTACAGTTTTGAACCATATATGTAACCTTTAATTTCTCACTGATTTGCGTAATTAACTCACCGATTTTCGAATTTTTGTATGGAGTCGGTAGCGGGACCCAAAAATATATAATTTGAAGCATATTTCCCCAAATTCGTGTTTGGGGTTTTATGGCCTCCGGCATGAACACAATGCCCGATGTCATAAACGAAGGGATTGGATTATTGGATTATTGGATTTGAACGGGGAGTGTACTGTTCTAAATGAATACAAAGTAAAACTCGTTGCTCAGGTTTCACAACCTATTGCAAGACGCCCGTGTGTGTAGTATGATACACGAAATAGTCTTTATCCAAAAATATGTACGAGACATGGATTTTGTTCACATGCTCGCTTGAAAAATTGTACCAGTCTGAATACGTTAGGTGCATGAATCATCTGGTAGGATCTCCATCCAGTGAACCTGTCCCTAATTTCATTCAGCCTTGAACATCTGTCTACAAGATGGGATGTTGTTTCCACTTCATCACCACAAAGTCTACAGTCAGGGTCATCCCTAAGATTTAGCTTTCTTAGGTGATTATTGACTCTGGCATGTCCGGTTAGTAAGCCAATGACCATCCGTAGGTCTCCCTTGGAAAGCTCAGTCAGGTTGGCTGTAAGTTTGGGACATGGGAGCTGCACGAAATGTTTCGTTTGCTCACATGTAAAAGTACCCTGCCAATTGAGGCGGGCTCTATTTTTGAGCCATGTTGCAACAGTGCCCTTGACTCGTGAATAATCTATTGGTAGAAACGGTTCAGGTCCTTCCACTGCACTAAGGGATGCTGTTTTAGCAGCCCCATCTGCAAGGTCGTGCCCTCTTATACCAATATGCGACCTGATCCAAACAACTCTAAGATTGTTTGTTTCGGCAATACACTGTAATGCTCTGTAGCAGTTCATAACCAAGCTACTCTCCACCTTGAATCTTTGAAGATCCGATATAGCACCTAGGCTATCGGTGAAGATCGCAATGTTACCCTCCACAGTGCCCTCCATTATTTTGTTTGCACAATGAAAAATTCCAGCTATTTCGGCCTGTTTGACTGTTGTTATCCGTCCCAGGGGAATTGAGCGAGTACTGTTCTCTGTTTCACAGTAGAACCCACAGCCACTGCCTGTTTCTCTGACTGATCCATCAGTGAAAAAGGAGTGATGAGCCCACTCTTTTTGCTGGAAAAATTCATTTTTTTTTAAATTAAACGAAGGGAGATGTAGTACTTAATGAGAGAAACATTTTTTGTTTCCATAGTGATCGAGATGAAGAACGAGTGACGAAAATTTGAAATAAAAAAATTCTGATATCAATTTTGTGACGAAAATAGTTGGTAGATATTTTTTCTGTGTACTGTGAATAAAAACTGAATATACATTTGTACATTCAAAATGTTGCAGAAATTGTTGTGGCTTGAAATATTTAAGTTGCAATTGGCACAATTCCATAGCTTACTTTAATACCTTTCCAACGATGTGCATATGTCAAGTGGAAGTGCCTCGGCGAACATAGGGACAAAGGTCAAAATATGACTTTTGAATGCTGGCCACGGTCAACATGGTGGCCATCTCGAAAAATGCCGGAACCAAAAAGTCTTAGTTTTTTATGTTCTTTAATCACAGAAAGTTTCAAAGAGGTTTCTCCATATGAAATTTTTTCAAGTTTTTCGATTTCGACGTTTAAGGTATCTCTAGAATCTGAATACCAGATAGTCCGAGTTCGTCCCGGTTCGTTCGACTTTACTTCGAACTTCAGACACCGTTTGCTAAGATCGGAGCGAACTCGGACAGACGATGAACTCGGACTTTCTTTTTAGAGTTTCAAAATTTTTCCAACAAAATATTTCAAGTTAATAACATTGAACATACGGACCATGATCAATTTATAATCATGACTAATTAAGAAAACTCAAAATTTCATCTCAATAATTCATCATTTGTGACAGCTTTTTCGCAAGTCAAATGAAATCCCTACTAAAGAGCTAGATTGTGGCGACAGTGGTGGTGGGATTTTTAAATTTATTTGTGGACATAAATGATTTGAAGAATACTTGCAACCGTCGCAATTTGTACTAGATCGAATGTGCAAACATACGAACTCGAATTTTAGTTTTTTTTATTTTCGGATAGACAAAAACGATCTCGGACGTTTCCGTTGACGCTGTATCTACCGATTTTCAAACTTTGATGTTTTTTCTTGATCTATGGCCCAAGGGATTCCCAAACATACATCAATCGCGGCGGTTAAGCCTTCTAGGTTTGAATTTGGAAATTGCGTGTATATAGCGAGTCGACTTTTGTGGTTTTGTCATTCGCATCATCACGTTTATAATTTGAGATATTCGATTTGGCACTTACACCCTCTGAAATGACTTTGAAAACTTCATTAAAATGGTGTGAAAATTTGCATTGGGGAGGATGACATTTATTTTGCGATAAAATTTAGTTTGAAAAATGGCCAAAAACGGTATGAATTTGTATGAGAGCTATGTCAGTTGGGTATCGGAATCACTACAAATTTTTATCTATATTATGTTTTTGTAATTAAAATAAGTTCCTGAAAGTTTCACCACAGTCGAAGAAAAAATGAGCATAGCTCCCATATATTTTTTTTTATTTTGAGCCAAAAATCGAAAATTTTGTGTGAGTACACTTATTTCAGAACGGATTGACCTTATAGTAGCAGAGATTATGTACTTCGGTGAGAAAATAAGATTTACAAGCTTTCCGGGTATTGTTGAGACAATACTATTTAAAGTAAGTGAAAACCGAGTTTGTCACTCTCGTTTAAATATTTGCAGTTCTGTGCTACGTTCACCAATTCGCTGGATGTGTTATAAGTATATAAGCGTGTTTAACAACATTTGACCTTATTTTCTCTTCATTCTTAATAGCGAAATAAATTCAGACTGTGATTGTATTTAGTACATTTTTAAATGACAATGCACAAATGCGAGAGATTTCGTTTCATTCACTCCCATATTTGATGTACGATTAATGAATTAGAATGCACCTTGTACAAATTGATGGATGACTCATCCAGTATGAGTTTTGTCGATTCAAATCAACTCAATCAGTTCAGTGAAATACATTATGCTTAATTTACTAATTCATTCATAAAATAGAATGGCATCCATTTCAAGCAAAACTCAGTTATGCTGTATAATGTGATGCAATTAATGATTTAATCTTAAAGTATTTGTGTTTGATTCATTTCCTGTCATACGCATAATTTTTTTTTTGCTGTTTTAGTTATATGCAGATGTAAGTTTTTCGGAAGTTTTATTGGCTAATTATTGGAGTTAAATCTTCGATATTGTTCTCGTCTGTATATAGTCTACTATATAGCCAATACGGAAGGATAAAAAATTGGCTGAAAATCATACTTGCTATCGTTTGCAAACCGCATTTTGTCAACATATAATAACAATAACAAATATTAAATTATCGGCAGTCTAATCTATGTCTATGCTCATAAGTTCAAGAAAAATATTAAAACACAATAGAGTCATTTTTTGTATTTTGAAAATGCGTTATCGTTTTGTTGTTCAAATTATAAATGTTTTGGTTTTATCAAAGTTTTGATTACTGCAAATAACTCCATAAAAATATTTCAGAACAATGAATCTAGATAAAACAAATACATTTGAGACAATTCAAAATGAATGATTAAGCTTGTGGTGAATACTGTGAATCATAGACTCATGACTAACATTGATTGCACTCTTTCAGGATATGTCATAATGATCAAACTCTAAAGTGATATCATAAAACGCATTTGGACGAAAGAAAGACTAAATGCGACCGAGAAACAGTGAAATACATTTCACAAATATTATTAACAATAAGATATAAAAGAGAATAAACGGAATATAAAATGAATATGGTTTAATGCAAAACGAATAACCTACCTATTGCCAAAATTCGCCTTCCAAAAGTCAGCTGCATCCGCTTTGGTAATCCGAAATTGATCGCCGGCAAATATACCATTTGGAAAGATTGCTTTTAATTCGCTTAACATATGTGAAAACACTAGACTAAGTTTGGTTAAGTTGCGACGATAATGCGAATTTTCGTCAAACATCTTCTCTTTGCCCTCTTTGAACAGTTTAATTGCTTGCTTACATTTACGCATTAAATTATTTATGAACACATTGAAATGTTCATTTGCATGCAGAATGTGCATTTGGTGTTCATACTTTGAATAGATTAATCGCAAACGTTGATATGTATCGGGCAAAATATCGAGAATGAACGGTGGACTATTTTTTAAATTCATTTTTGATTGTTGGCACTGTCGTACCACCTTATCCATTAGTTTCCATGTTTTGTCAAGTGTTTTTTTATCAGTGGACATTTTTTGCGGGCTACATGCATCAGACAGTGCACCATGCAATTTCGAAAATATTGATGATATGTTTTTTGTTTGTTGCATACGAGTTCGACTTGCCGCCATTTTGAATTTATCAAAGTTATGTTTGTTATTCGATTTTGGTGTATTCTGTAGTTTTTATTTTGCTATATGTATTTTATTTTCTCTCAAAAGTTCTTTTTTCGTCTTTTCCGTCTTTTTTTTTTCAGTTTATTCTCTTTAATTTTTTCCGAATCTTCTCTATGTTCATTATTTCGTGTACACCGACACACGTTAGCTCCCTTTTGTTGTTTCTTATATGTGTGGAATAATTTATACGTAGGTACTGTGTTAATAATGTTTTTTTTTATATATGTACGTACATATACATAGATATGGTGTTATTGTTACTATATCTTTTTTGTTATTCCGTTCTCGTGTGGTATATTCCGAGTCTCTGGTGAACGGTAATCTATCTGTGTGTTTGTTACTATTCTGTATCTTTTTCTATGTTGCCGCCGTACGATTAAGCATCAATGCCAGTATATGTTGCGTGTGCACAAATGAAAATGATACAAATAAACAATGAAGTCGATTCTCGATGAGTTTTTTTCATTCGTCTTCTACTAGTGTATACTTTGTTATTGTTGTTGTTTTTTTCTTCTTCTTCTTAAATCTGTCGCTTCTCAATTTTTGTTAGTTTGTTATAACTCACTCAACATAGATACGTTTGAATTCTCTGTCCGTGTTGAGTTCCGATCCTTTCATTCTCTCTCTCTCCGTTACATATGTGTTTTATATTTTCTTCTAAATATTGAACATTATAAGAGATTTTTTTTGTGTATGCTTTCCTTTTCTCTTCTTTCGATTTAATTATGTTTACTTGTTATAACTCTTCTTTGTGCGTATCAAACTTGATTCTTTTGCCTTTTTGAGTTTTGTTCGTTTGATTTTTTTTGTTGTGCACTTTAAGAGTCAAAAAAGGTTTTCTTTTCTCTATTTCATATATTTTCAGGTTTATCGTTGTTTCAAGACATAGTCCATTGTTGGAAAATTAATTCTGTGATGTACCACATGTGCGTTGAGTAATTGTAGCACAGATATCAGACACTTCTGTAGAGATCAATTCACACTAAATATGCATCGAAATAACTTGCCGCAATTAAATGTTTACCTTAAAGGAAATAAACAAAAAATCAACCCCACAATCAACAACTATAAAACAATTATATTAAAGTTCGGGCAATAGCAAATGCATCTAATATGCATTAAGGTGACCGTTCATTTCACTTTTTCTCACTTTTTGAATGTTATTGATTATTTCCATTTCGTTTGTATAGTTTTCGTATAGTATACCAAAATTTCGTGTGCACTTGATGATTCGTTTAGATAATTCCTGCACTTGCACAAATGTTTTCATACATAGATCTGTCTAACAGTCACACTATAGATACGATAAAAAGTCGTGTGACACAGCGTGGTTTTATCACTCTCGCACAATAAATCCACAATTTTTATGTTCAAACCGGAGTTGATGCGCTAGTACCAAGAAAATGTACACACCGAAAATGTTTCGTTGTTTTATTTCATTTTTGTTTTCTTTTCACAATTCAACTTGCATGTATCGGAAACACGTTTTGCATTTATAAGCGCCTTGGTTTTGGTCGAAAAAAGAAATATGTAAGAGAGTGAAGAGTCGTGATTGCAACATATATAAGTGCTATCAGTAGTCATTAACAGCAAAAAAAAATACTAACGAAATCGTAAAGTACATTTCCCGTCCAATTTTTGGGTTACACTTATTTTTTTCGAAAAATATTTAAAATAAATTCTTTTAAAGACACTCAATATGACACATACTACTTAATTATAGCTATTTTACACAATTTTTTATGATTCACTTATGAAAAATTGTTTAAAACTTGAAATAATAATTATTTCGATTTGTATTTGTTTACGAAATACTATAAAAATCCTCATTTGCCACGTAAATCACGTAAATTATCCATTCGATTCATAGCATTATTACTTTAAACTCATCACAAATTGTGATTCACAATTTACATTCAGTAAAACTTATGCAAATAAAATCATATCAGCGTTGGGCTTAATTTTCAATCACGAATACACTATGAGTATGTGTGTTTTGTGCACTCCTCTATTTAGTTTATGATTGTTTTTTTTTAAATATTTTCATTTCGATAGCATAACGTTATGCAGCTATATTTGTTTTTCCTCTTTATTTTTGTTCAATTCACTTTTTCAAAGCACTTTAAAAATATATGTGCCTAATTCGAATAAAGAGCAAAATTGTTTACGAATAGTTTCCGTTTTAACAAAGTGTATATGTGTGTATGTGATGTATGTGTGTCTTTTGATCAGTATTATTTAGAATTTTATAGTTCATGAAAATCAATTCCACAGGAATTATGCGTTTTCGACTCACTCATATGGAATATATGTATAAATTGTTCAAGAATTAATAATAACCACGACGACGGCAGCGATGACAACGACAGCGATAGATGAGGGCGACAACTATAGTCACGTCAAAATAATTCATCGAATACACATACACTTTACTTGTAAATTCTTCACCTCCCAACTAAATAAACACTTACAAATTTCGCATGACGATAAAAACAGCAACCTCATTAAAATGTACATTTCATAAATTCTAATGACATTGTGTTATATCCTGTTTAATTCAGGTCCATCTTCTTCTCTCGTTTGAATGGTTTTGTGAGTGAGCGTGTCTGTACGAGATTATTCGACGACAATTAAAGTTGCACTTTATCTTTAGAAAATTTAAATATATTTGTGTTTGGAACTACTGCATTTCTTTTCAACTATTATTTCAGAATTTGTACCTTTAATGCAATCTTTTCAAGTAGATTTTGTGTGTATTGTGTACAACAACAATGACAAATAATCTCATCATGTCACTATATACAAGGCGACGACATTATTGCGCGATGGACAATCTACTTTTGACAACACCGTAACAAAACAGCATAAGCAAAGTGCTGCTGACATGAAAGAGAACGCACACTCAGCTAATAAACCATTTTTCACATGCAAGAAACCGATGAGAATTTGTGGAGAGTTTGATCGACGAGCTTTTGTCTAAATATTCACAAGAATTTGTGTTTGTCTATTAAGAATGAATAGAAAGTGACAAACACAGAGCAAATCGTTCGTTTGTGCCCACTGGTAAGTAGCTGGTATACTAGAGTTGTCTTACTTACGCTTCCATTCACAACGCAAACACCAATATTTTTAGACATCGACAAAAATAAACTCTCCCAAAGTACATAACGACATCTGTTAGTCTACACATACTATTTTTAAAATTTGGATTAAACACTTCTTTAGTTGAAAATAGTTTTTCATTATATTTTTTTTTTATTCCATTGGATTTCAATAATAATAAATCGTCTATTTATGTTTTTGGATAAATTAACCACATAATTTATTTAGGAAGTGAGAATTGAAACCATTATTTAATATCCAATAGATGACTCTGGTCGTCAAAAAAGACACCAGCATTGATTTAAAACAATGAATTACAATCATTTTGTGTAAAATTTGACTTATTTGTTTTGATTGCATACAACATTGATTGAAAATTGAAACCTTGTAACGAAAAAAAATCATTTTTATTCGTGAATTTCTTTTTATTTTGACGCATTTTTATTTAAAAAAAACGATTACATATTTATAAAATAATAAACAGTTTATTAACGATTAAAACGAATATTGAAAGCATTTAGTATTAGTTTGAATGAGTATTATTTTAATTTTAAATACAAGATATATAAAACTAGATAGATTTTTGTACAAAAAATCCCAGATTTTTCGAGCCAATTAAATCAGTCAATGATTGAACGAATAGTTTCTGAATTTCATTTTATATTTTTCCTCTTCGACAAAACGAATAATTTTATTTAGTATGATTTAGCCACTGGAATTTTTGTTGCAACGAGATTCCTATCGAAGAAAGTATCCATTTTTTTTTTCATATTCATGTTTTATTTTCTGTCGTTTGCTTGACATTATAAATTAGTATAAATAGTTTTGTGCGGGTGTTTCTGGTTTCGTACAAGTTCCGTAATGTTTTAATTGTACCACATTTCGCGATCGACAATTTTCTATACTCAAAAAGCATTCGTTGGAATATGTTTTGTCATCGGAGCCACAGACGGGTTCAAAGTCCTTTGGACACATTCGATTGCATCCTTTGAAATTGAATGCAGCTAAACAACGTTTCATCGGTATGACGAACATGTGCTTACCACAGTTTTCTTTACGCATATGGCATTCATTTCGATAAAATTTATTGTCGGAAGCACAAACAAATGATGTAGCTTCTGCATCGCAGTCACCATTGCAGTAGGCAGTAGTTGCACAATTTTTCAATGAAACGGGAACTACGCGACTGCTACATGTTTTCTCTTTCATTTCACACAATGTCCGATATACATTTCCATCGGACGCGCATATTGGTCCCGTAGAGCTGTCAGAGTCAGTGCATTTTTCATTGCATTGGTAAATGTTGGTTTTAAGCTTCGTACAAGCACCAATGTGAGCCAAATTCACGTTGCGTCTTTAAAATCATAAACAAAATGTAAAAATTATTCAAGAATGTGGAATTTAAAGAAATAAATACACTTACAAACAGTTTGCTTGGGCCAAATCACATTCAGATTTATAAGTTTTTGAATCAGTTCCGCACAGGTAATCATTTTTCGATGACTTGATGAGGCCAGCATAACGTTCTTTATTACAGGCAGCTAGTTTTTTGCATTTGGCCAAACGTGATTTACAACGTTCCATCGGTACCGATTGAATGGATTTCTTTGGAGTTCTGTGAATGTTTTGTATATATTAAATATTTACATTTAAACTAATTTAAAAAAAAATGAACAGATTTATAGCCAAATCATGTAAAACATACCCACAATTCAACATTTTTAGCTCACATAATGAACTGTAAATATTACCGTCGCTCCCACAAACAAGCTGCTGTGAAACTTTTGCACAGTCCGTTGGACAATCCACCATTGCTTGATTGCCGCCTATGTTTGCGGTTCGTTGCTCCTGCATCATACAATAAGACATAGGCACCTCAAAAATGTGCTTACCACAGTTTGTTGACCGCATTTTGCATGCCGACGCATAGATTCGGCCGTCTGAACCACAAGTGGGTCGAGCCACCCTCCAACATGATTCTCTACACATTCGTGTACTCTGACAATGTTTGCGATTAGTTCGCACAACACCTTGACCACAAGTCATTAATTTCATTTCACAAGTTGAATTGTACACGTTCCCATCGCTTCCACATGTGGGTCCATCATGTGGAGCGCTGTTACAATCAACCGGACAAGATTCACGAATGGCACTTGTATTGCTACAAGGTCCTTGATGTGCTAATTTTACAGCTGCCAAACCTACTCGGCACGCTTGTACACGAAGCATACATCTACATTTTTTAAATTAAACAAAAAGAAAAAGTTTTTATTTTAAAAAAAATCTCACTTTCAAATTAAAATAAATGATTTTGATTCACTTTAATGTTGGAATTGGCCTTTTTATCGTTTTTATTTTTTTAAAAAGAACCGTGTCCCATTTTGTATAAAGTTTGGGCTGTTGTCGAGAACATCAAGAAGACTTATAAACCTGCTTATTGGGTTTAGTTTAGGTATCAATGATAAAAGGGTTATGCTTGGAGTCCTGTACAAGACCAAAGACCCTTTTATTATTATTGATACCCACACCAAATCCTATAAATGTATAAATCCCAAATGAATACGGTACAGTTGAGTTATAATAATTATGTGTATATTTTTTGGAGGAATGCAGGAAGAACTTGTTGTTTAGTACGCATACCTGTTTAAGTAAGTACGACCATCTGTACCACATACGTGATCTTTATCCGTTGGACAACGATGTATGCATGCGGAACCGGTAGCACGTTCGCAACCATTTGGTGTTTCCTGTAGATTTTTATATAAATTTAGTTGTTTGTGAAGAAAAATCATTAAATCATTAAATTTCAAAACCGGGTGACAAAATATTGTTCTTTATTTTTTTGGAGTAATCGTATTTTGTCTTATATGAATCGCTTTTTCTATCTTGTTAAATGATGTGTAAAAAATTACCTGTACGTTTGCAGCACCATTTCGGATGCACGTTTTTTTCTTCAATTCACATGAATTGGCATATATTAAACCATCTGAACCGCATACGGGTTCCTGAGGTGTTGTTAATACAGGACATGTCCGTGGGCAACTAGATGGTGGTGGTGTCACGGCTTTTGAATCGCGTATAGAGCTACCGTTATATGTACCAACTTGCCAGGACGGTGTTTGAATTGGCTGCGATGTAAGTCCTATGACCAAATGAATGGAAAGGGATATTATTTTTAATTATTTAAATGAATCACATAAGAAAATATGAGGCTGTTAATAGACAAGCCATTATCATACAATTAAATATTAAACAGTCAAACCAGCGTCTTATTTACAGTAGCTTACTAAATTTTCAGACTTCTTTCAAAAGCGGTTGAAGTTTTTTTTCAAGTGCTAAAGAATCTTAATTTTGACCCAGAGTAAAGTTTTCCTTCAATTACGTTGTACATCATGCATATACATACACATACACACAAGCAAAACATTGGAATGCATCTTAAAGTATTGGTCAAAAGTGAATTTATTACGAAAAAGATCATAAAAGAAGCATATATTTGTGAAAACGTTTCGTCGAGTGTAGTGTGCACCAACGCACAAATTAACCGCAATTCGATTGGCATCTTGTACAATAAGCAGCATGGCTGTCTTCAATTTGCATAATTATAAGAAGAAAGTGACCTAAAATCAATCTTCAGCTTTATTCTCCATTTTTATCATTTCATTTGTTTTATTCTCTTGATTGTAGCTTAGTTGTGTGTGCGTGTGTTGTATGTGTGTTTTTCCTTCTGATTTGATAGTAAACATAAATACGGCAACGTATATTGGTTGCGAGAGAGCGAGATTTGAACCTTTTTGGTAAACATGTTCTCAATCTTGAGATACAGTCTGAATAAATAGTAATAATAATGTATGTACAAAAGAAGTATACTCTCAACGTGCGCGAAGAAAACATATATCGTTGGTAAATTGGTGTCGTTTCGCATTATCTTTTACTTATCAGATGAGCTCAGGTGAGTTGGATAGTTGGTTTCTTGATGATTCAACCTACCTGAGCCGTAATGTTTCAACTTAATTTGTTCATTTTGAGATGTACGGTTTCGCGGCATTAAACGAATATTTTTTCGATATTTTGTCATGTTGTTTTACACGCCTTTCGTCTCATCAGCTATATTATCAGGCACAATGCACCAAACCCCAGCCAACCGAACTATCCACTGTCACTTGTACTCAATCACTAATTCATCCTGTCACTGATAGGTTGATACGATCGAATTCAATTGGTTTCTCTTTTCGACAAACACATGCACACACATGACATTTGCGAATCATTTACAAGACATTCATTCGATTTACAACACTATATACTACTTATAGGTAGAAAATGAAAATGCACACAAATCATGTACTACATCGACCAAGAAAGCATCAATATAGAAACAATGTATCACATCGCGTGACGATGATATGCCATGGGAATTGCAAAAAACATACATATTGGTTAGCAGATAGCACTTGTCACGAGCCAATATGAATAAAATCAAGCTGACGGAGCAATTACTTCAAATCCAATATTACAAATGCGATACAAATTGAAATGAAATAAGTGAGATAATGAGTTTGAACATTGTTTGTTTGACAATTTATCGCACATTATAAGCAAAAAACGAACGAAAAAAATGAGAAAGAGAGAACTGGTTTCATCAAAGCACAACAAATACGTTAGCACATTTCATTAGCCATCAATAGGACAGTGTAATACTCATTTGTCGTTAACAAGAAATTGAAACTATATTAAATTGTGCTTTCTTTTCATGTATAATGTTCCTTTCGCCTAAGAAAATTTAACAGCTTCAGAAGAAATCGAATGTCTTCATCGTATTTTACCTGCGGCGATGTGTATGTTGTTGCGGTTATTGCGATAATATATAAAAAAATCCCAATCGCGCGCGCCAACACTTTTGCTTGTTATCTTTGTTACATTTCATTCTCACTTGCTTTACAATTTATAAATTACAAATTGAAGTAGCCTTGCAGTATCGCTCTAATTTTGATCGATTGTCGCAACTATTGATAAATCAAAAACCATTTCCTGTGAATGGCCTACAGACCTGACTTTCAAGTCAGCTGAATACAGTTTTTGTTAAATCAATTGTTTCTTTAGATTTTATTCGATAAATTCAATAGTTGATCTTTAACTTTTTATATAAATTGGCGTATTAGCGCAGCAAATTAACGCATGGCATTAATTTGATATAAACGACCAGCTATGTAGCGTGTAGCCTCAATGACTATTCCATCTTTTCAATTGCCATTTTCACTTTTTTCTCTATATTATATACGCTATATAATACACTTTTATTGATCGTTGTGTTATCGAATTGCCATCGTGCATATAAAAAATCTGCAACGTTCCAATGCGATGAACACCAAGTCACATGGCAATATACGTATATTCTCATACCCTTCTTTATTATAGCCATCTGTTGGACCTCAATATTTGAAAGAGTTTGTTTGTTGTAAAATATCTTGGTCGACGAAAAATGTTTGCGCATTGAAAATGGAAAAATCTCTTCTCATCATTCAGAAAATAGCGAAGAAAGTTTACTATTAATTGAGTTTTTATGTCAATTGATCTCGATCAAAATTCACAAGATGTCACGTTGTCAATTGACATCCAGACTGAACATACTTGTCATTCTAGATCTTTTATATATTTTTGCCTTTAAAATGTAATTTGATATGGAAGCATTCGAAGCATTCTTCTGGTATTTTTTTTTTTGTTCAATACTTTCTTCTTTCTCATTTCATAAAAAATAATTCGTAAAAAAGTATAAGCGCAAGTGAACAGAACTCAGACAAACATGGAAACCTGTTTACAGTTTATCCATAAACCAGAAGAACGATGTCTCAATGAGGAGGATTAACGGCCAATGAAACTGAACGATGCTAGGACTGTTGATGTTATTTAGTATGATTTTGATGGTCGGAAACTAGTTGCAAGTTTACTTTTATCATTGGCAAATCAGCGCAAGTATTTGTAGTCGGCTTGTAACATAAATAAAAAAAAAACAACAACAGAAAAGCGAAGATACAGGTGAGATTTTTCATCGCAGATGAGACAATCGGCGAATGATATTGAATATTTATTGTAATTCTTATTCGTGAAAGTGTTTGAAAGATTTAATCCAATTTTAAGAGCGTTAGTGATAGATTGAGACTATTTGTATAAGATGAGAATGTGCACGAGACTTGCTACTTTTTTTTGTAACACCTTTTTTTAATTAGCTTAAATTCAATCGCTTTATCTAATGTTCATCATGACATACAATCAATTCGTTGCGTGTGTTTGTTTATGTGCGCGTTTTTTATTGTTATTTGTCGCGTACCGCGAATATGAGGTACTTATAAAGCCTATAAATAGAGAATATCATCCGAATAAACCGTTATAATCCATGATAGCTTTTGGTTTTAGAGTTATCATCTAGGTTATCAACCATACAAATTTTATGCGATCGTTAATGGATTTAGTTGTAATATTAAAAACACGCTCTACAAAATTACAGTTGATTGAATTATCATTATATTGGTAATTTATTTAAAATTTCCCAAACGGCATCATTATTTTTTCACAGCAGAAACAACAGCATTTACATTTTATTAAAAAAAAAACGGTGACAATATAAGTCACAACGAATTTTTAACGTAATTAAAAGAAAAACAAAACTAATAGAGACTTATTTGCCCTAGATGAACCCATCCAGTTGAGTGTACCACCTGAAGCGGTAAAACAACCGTAAAAAGCATTACCAGAAGTATAGATTGAAATCGTGACACAAAAATGTCATCAAAACGAGATGAAAGTAAACCACTAATAGAAAGTGGTGTGTTTAGGTAGTTTTGAAATGAAAACAAAAAAGCTAATATACAATTTGGAAATGCGAAAATCTTGTGTATGAAAGATTTTTGAAAGGATTTTGCACGTTTCTTTTTCCGTCTCTTTGCATCATTTTATTTTTATAAAGAAAATTGATTTCTGTATAACTCCTTTATAGTACAAAGAATTTATCTTTATAATGACGGTACAGGACGTAACAGTTATACAGATAATTGATAAAAATAAAGACGATGCTTCTTCATTTCCTTTCTAACTTCTTTTAAAGTACTAAAAAATTTAAAGGAAATCTTTAAATAATAGTATAGGAATTATATAGATCTTTGAAGTTCCTTTAAGTCTTTCAAAGAATTTGATAGGTTCTTTTTCTCTGTAAGAGAATCCGCCATATTTTTCGATTTATTTTATTTTAATACATTTGAACAAAACAAATGATTATAATATATATGACAATATCCAAAATTCATGCCCAAATTATTGCCAAAAATAATATTGAAACATTTTCAATTTTTCAATGCATTCTTTCATTATAACTTATTTTAAAGGCGCGTAAAAGTTGAAAAGGGTATAATATCAGATTTGAATGGGTCAGAATAAAAATCCGACTTGTACGCAGAGTCTATAAAAGTGGAACTCTGATTAATTTTTGTTATACATATTTTGATTATAACATCACACTATGTTATGTCTTTCCCTTAAGTGGTCTTAATAGCCACAAAAACGATCAATTTTAAAAAGATGTGGATGAAAGAAAACGAAATGAATTATTCTCGAAAAAATGTATTTTCGAAGAAATTTGTTCGTCGACTTTTCTCACCTAAAACTTAGAATTTTTTCAATTCATTGTTTTTGCACTACATTGATTTTTCCGTTTATAATAATCGATGTGTCGATATTTGATATTTGTTAATATCTTTTTCAATCACACGAATCGTCAAATAGTTGAAAATTGAAACTATTAACTCAATTAGGCCTCATTGCTGATCTGTGTCACTCAAAATCAAATTTCAACAAGCAAACTGGTTATAACTCAAATATCTATAGGTTTTATTTTTCTACTCTAATTTATGATTACTCAATAAGAATTGGGTCAATAAAAATTCGTTATCTCGAATATTGACCTTTTCCATTTCGAAAAGTAATATTTCGACAGATCGTGACTTACATATTGACCAATTTAAGTTGAACAAATACGACATTTTTTTGTTAACATGTTATTTGATGCACAAAAATGTGAAACGTTAAACACTTTAAATATGTGTACATTCGTCATAGATCCAACAATGCCACAGCACAATATCCAAAAAA